CGGGCTCGGGCTCGCGGCGCGGGCATCTTGGACCGCCCTCGGCCTCGGCCCCACGCAGCTCTTCTCTACCCCTCACCTCCAGCGCCCTCCACCTTTACCCCCAGGCCTCAACCCCTCCCTTCCCGTCCCTTCCTGCTCCCCCTTGCCTCCCCCTTTATGCCCTCTTCTCCCGTCCCCTCTCCTTTACTTTTTCTACCCCTTGGGAGCCACCGCTTTCTAACCAGATTCTATAATCTCCTCCCTAATTCTCAGCTGTCTGCCCTGTCACCCTTCACCTGCTCCCCTTGATCCCTCCAGCCCCCTCTTCTCGGCTTCCTTCCTCCTTCCAACACCCTGGTCCTGTCCCCTCCTCCCTTTTCACTAGTACTCTTCCTCTGTCCTTCTCAGCTCTCACCCTCCCTTCCTTACCAGCGTCCCCTCCCCCTATGACACCTGTCCCCAACGGGGTGGGGTCTTCCTCTGCCCCACCAGCCCACCAGTCCTGCCTGCCCTGCCCCTCCAGCACCTCCTCCCTGTCCCCAAAGCCTCCCCTCCCGTCCCCCTGTCCTCTGCCTCTTCTTCCTGGCTCAGCCTCTGTCCTGCTCTCTGCTTCTTGAGAAATTCTGGGCTACCCCTTCTTCCCCTTTCGGGCTGCTCTGTGGCTGGCCTGGGTCACATGGTGCTGCAGGGTGTTGAGGAGAAATGAAAGCCCGGGTCACAGGGCCCTGCGCGCCCAGCTTTCTAAAAACCTCCCCCCCCTTCACTCCGTTTATTTCCCCCTCTCACTTCCGCCAGCCTCCCTAGAGCCGGGAGGAATATTTCCTGTCTTTCACTTTCGTTTCTTGCCAAGATCCCTCCTTGTCTCCCTTCTCTTGCCATCTGAGTCCGAGGCTGGACTGAAATAGAACTGAAAAGACCACGGTCAGGTCCTGCCAGCCCACTTCGCAGATGCAGAGAGTGGGGCCCCATGAGGCTGAGACAGGCAGGAGGGGGTGGCCGAGTCATGAGAACTGGATGGGGTAAACCACTGCCAGGCTCCTGAGTGACAGGTGAAGCTCGCACAGTGCAACCCGGCCTGTGCCAGTGCCACCCTGAAGAAGGAAGTGGGACTTCTAGAAAGGCCCCCACTTCCTTCTGCACAGCGGGGTGGGAAGGATGCTGACCTCAGACTAAATCACAGTCCAGTCCCAGCACGCCCCTCCTCAGATGCCCCGCTGCTGAGGCCAGGAGCCAGCCCTCGCCTGGACATACCAGCCTGGCGGGACCTGCCCATGCCCTGACCTCACCTTGGTCTTAAGTCACTGGAGCCCAGCCGACGGACCTTCCCGCTGCCCTCACTCGCTAAGCTCCTTCCCGCCTCAGGGCTTTCATCTTTGCTGGTCCCTCTTCCAGAACTGCCCTTCCTCCAGATCTCTGCATGACTGGCTTCTTTATTGAGAGTTTGCGACTGAAATCTTTCCTCTTTACGGAACCTTTTCCTGGTCATCCTATCTGGCTTCTCACAGTCTCCGTCACTGTCCTGTGACATCCTCAGAGCACACATTCCTCATTCCGTTATTATCTCCCTGGTAGAATAGACCCCATATCGGTCAAGGACCTAGCCCAGGTTTTTGCTGTCTTATTCCCAGTGACTGCCCAGTGCTTGGCAAATAGTAGGTGCTCAGTAAGTATTCATGGAATAAACAAATGGAAAGAGTCCCAAGATAAGATTTGTAAGAAGGCTAAAAGCGAAAATAAATTAGGTCTTGGGGGACCAGCTGTTGGTGTAATGGCTATGTCGCTGAACTCCCATGTAGTTTATCGCGGTTCGAGTCCCGGATCCGGTGGCTTAAACTCACACCACATGTGCATGTGTGTGAGGAGAATGGAGGAAAAGGGACTGCGGCGTGGCCATTCCCCTCTGGGGGTGATTTCTCGCTTTCTGTCTCTCTATCTCTGTCTTTCTGGTGAGCACACACGCCCTATAGCAAAAACCTCTCCAAAGAAAAAAAATAGGTCTTGGAGAAGCTGTAGATACTACCAAATTAAAAAAAAAAAGAACGGTTTTTAACACTTTCTAGGGGGTAAGAAACCCAGCCATGGTGGATGGGACAAGCCCATAGGGGTGCAAGGCTGGGGGGTGTGGCCCGAAAACAGAGCCCTGCAGCTCAGATGGTTTCAGCTGCTGTCCTCAGGACTGCGGGCTTTGAACGAGGCAGGCAGAGATGAGAAGAGGACGCTCAGTTGAGTTGCCTCCAACTCTTTTGGGAAGAAGTTCAGGATTTCCAGATACAGGGTGTGATGACGAACACAAGTGACATCAGACCCAGCTCCTTCCTCTCTTGCCAAGGTCACGAGGCTGACAGAAGTGACAAATGCCATCCCGTAGCACGGAATCTTACAAACGACTGTATCTGTCATCTTCAAGGAGTGGTGAGTAAAGGGAAGACCCGTGGAGAAACACCAGGAGAGGAAGGCAGCAAAGCTTCCTCCTTTCTGCCCCGTTTCTGTCCCCAAGGTGGGCGGGCTCAGGGACCAGGGTGGGTACCTGGGAAAAGCCCTGGGTCTGGGTTGTGCTTGGTTGGAGAGAGGAGAGGGGTGATCTGCCTCTTGCAGATGAGGGAAGTGGTGTTCCTGAAGGCAGGCATGACTGTCACCCAGGACTTGAGTCACATCATAGACTTCCAGGGTCAGGCACCTAGAGAGCAGAATCTTTGTCCTGCAGAGACCCAGAGCTGGTGAGCTAGGGCCATTACCCACACACATAGATGGTTTGGCCGAGATAGTGTTTAGCCTCATGGTCTCAAGTCTGTGTTTTCATTGTAATTATTTTGTTTTATTGCCAGAGGGCAGGAGTACTCGGCAGAGAGAGAGAAAGAAAAAGAGATAGAATGGACCCCCAATGGGGGCGTGGTTTTGCCACAATCCTTTTCCCTCCGTTTCTCCACCCCACTGGGATTTGGGGCAAGCATGCACAGGCGCACAGTGTGTTTTTCAAGCTTCCCAGTGCTGGGATTTGAACCTTGATGGCCATGTGAGATCTGGCTCTCTATGCGCAGTGCTTACAGGGTTGTTACACATCTCTATGTGTTACTGGGATGGTCTTGTTACTGTTTTGGTGTTTGTTTTGTTTTTCTTTTTCTTTTTTTTTTGGTCTTTTTAATTTGCTAGAGAGCACATGCACTTGCCAGAGAGAGAGAAAAAAAAAAGAGGGAGAGAAAGCAACCCCCACTGGGAAGTGGTCATGCTGCAATCCCTTTTCCCATTCCCCCTCCTTTCAGGATTTCAGGCATGTATGTATACACACCTAGATTGTGGGGTTTTTTTTTGTTTTTTTTTTTTTTTTTTGAGAGGTTTTTGTTATAGGGTGCGTGCGCTCGACAGAAAGACAAGACAGAAAGTGAGAAATCACCCCCAGGGGGGATGGCCATGCTGCAATCCCTTCTCCAATCTCCTCTCAGAACCTTGGCCATGCACGCACACATGCCTGGTGTGAGTTTAAGTCACTGGGTCCAGGACTTAACCACGGTCAGCTACATGGGAGTTCAGCGACATAGCCATTAGGCCAACTGCTGGTCCCATTTTTTTTTTTAAAGAATTACTTATTTATTTAATTCCACTTGTTATTATTACTATTATTATTATTTAATTTGACCAGACAGAGACAGAGAGAGAGAAAGAAAGAGAAAGCAGGAGAGCAGGCCATCAGGTCCAGGACTCAAACTGTGGTCAACCATGCGGGAATCCAGTGCCTTAAACCACTACGCCACCTGCCGGCCCCACAGCTAGATTGTTTTTCAAGCTGCCTGGCCTGGAACTCAAACCTAGTGGTCAGCCATGCGGGCTCCAGCTACCTAACCACCATGCCACAGGCTGGCCCTGTTACTGTTTCTTAATTCATTTTTAAAATTTTTTTATCTCCTAAAAATCCAGATGCATTCACAAGAAAATCCAGATTTGGGGATACTCTTGAAATTCTAGAGATCCTGGCAACTCTGAGTCTGCATGCCCACAGAGGGCCGAGTGGCAGCCAGGCCAGCTAGTGAGGTGAACGAGGTCGGGTTTGGGAAGTTCAAGAGTAGGCCTGGCCTAACCCAGCTCTATTGCTTTATGTGGTTGAAAAAAAATGAGGCAAGGAAAGCTAGGTCTGACTTCCAGTTTCTGGGTCCAATTCCTCAGCAGTGCCCAGCGCTGTCCTGCCACATCGCCACAGGCTCCACAGTCACAAGGAAGCCGTGTTGCCACTCTGTAAGAATGACCGGATGTGGCCCCTGCTGTGGGACGAGGTTATCGTGCAGGTCTGTACGAGGTCTGTCACACACATGCAAAACAATCTGCTATACCTGGCCTACTTGTTGTTCCTGGCGGTGGATCCTGGGCTGGAGGGCAGGTAGAAAGCAAAGTGAGAGTTCTGGGCCATTCCCAGATGGCCGTGCAGGTGTCCATCCACAGCAGCTTCCCATGGCCAGGGTGGACCATCCCACCCTCGTGTGCTGAGGCTATGGAAGCGGGCAGAAAAGACAGCTGAGTTGCCATTCTGGTGGTTGGGGGAGACAGACAAGAAGCAAATAACTATAGAATAAAAATAGATTTAACGTCACGCAGAATAAAGGCTATAATAAAATTAGGCTGGCTAACGAAAAGAGGATGACAGTGTATAATATAATCATTCGTTATTGTGAATCAGGGTTCCTCAGCATCACTGCAGGCACTTAGGGTCAGATCAGTGCAGAAGACTGCCCCGTGTGTTGGACGGCTAGCAGTATCCTCGGTCTCTAATCACAAGATTCTGGCTCCACCTTCCCTGTGCAGCCCACCTCGCTGTGCAGCTAAAAATGTCTCCAAACAAGACTAAATGTCTTGGGAACCAGCAGTTAGCATAATGGCTATGTCGCTGGACTCCCACGTAGTCGACCGCGGTTCACATCCTGGACTTGGTGGCTTAAAACTCACGCTGGGCGTGTGTGTGTGCGTGCCCAAGATCCTGAGAGGAGAATGGAGGAG